GACCTGGGTTCAGTTCCCAGCACTCACATGGTAGCTCCCGTTTCAGGAGATTTGATGCCCTGGCCTCTGCCAGCATTGTATGATATACATGTAGGCAAAATATTCAAACACATAAAATTTTTAAAAAATTTTAAAGAAGTGGTAAGAAATTATTTTGAATATCTCAATACAAATAAATAGGTACATATGAAACTACCTGGACCCTCCTCTTTTAAGACCAAATTGTAGCTGGGCACAGTGTCATGCCTGTAGTTCAGCTACTCTGGAGGCTGAGACAGGAAGAACCCAAGGAGTTCAAGGGGCAACACAGCGAGACCCTAGCCTAATTAACTAATAAATAAGAGGCCAAATTTTAACCACCATTTTGGAAAATAACTTCAATAGCCTGAAAAGAAAGCAGAGTCTTATTTATGTGGAAAACTTTGAGTATGGGTTCAGTACACCACAACCTACCCCTCCCCGCCAAACAAGACCCTTTTACTCACTCAGGCAGGCTCCACGTCACAAACCAGTAAATTGCCCTGGTGTAGACACCTACCTCATATCAGATTTTCTTTCGCCTACTATTTGTATTGGAAACAGCTGGTCAGGCACACTATGTCCTTAAGCTTAAGACAAATTAAGCCCAAGGGGGGCTTAGCACAGCACCAGCACCCAGAGGCAGAAAATATAAGTCTCTACAGAGATAAGAATGGAACCACTGAACTATGAGGCAGGAGTCAAAAACAAAGAGGCCTTGATCACTTAACTCACTTGGCCGTGACAACCTTGTGGACACTGAGTTTTGAGAAAGACCCACAACACCTAACCGTTGTGCCCATTTACATCAATGGGTTTCTACTACCTTCAGTGATTCTTAAATTGTTACCAAAAAAGTTATAAGAAAAACTTTAAATGGAGGATGTTTCAAATATTTTTGACAACTCTAAAGACTTACAAACAAGCTAAATGGCAAGAAACTAATTAGTAATTTATAATACAGTAACTCAACAAAACACAACCATTAAAAACTATGCAGTTATGGTTGTGAGCCTGGCTGGAAAGATGGCTCAGCAGTTAAGAACACTGGTTGTTCTTGCAGAAGACCCAGGTTCAAATCCCAGCACCCACATGGCAACTAACAACTGTCCGTAACTCCAGTCCCAGGGGATCCGACAGCCTCTTCTGACCTCCGTGGGCATTGCAGGACACAGGTGCACTTACCTACATGCAGGCAATACACGCATACACATGAAGAAAAAAACTATGCAGTTAGCTGGGCATGGTGGCACATGCCTTTAATCCCAACACTCAGAGGCAGAGGTAGGTGTATTTCTGTGAGTTCAGGACCAGCCTGATCTACATAGTGAGTTCCAGGCCAACTGGGGCTACAAGGAGACCCTGTATCAAAAAGATAAAAACTATACAGTTGACAAAACTAATAAAAATGTTTGTTTTATAATTATTTACATTCGTGCAAAATACTTAAAGGATAACTAAAATCCCATGTTCTAGTGTTTTAGCTGAATTTCCCAAGTCTTCCTTTTTATGGCTTCCTGCAGCTTGTCAAATGTTCTAAATGAGCATGTGCATGCATGCATGCACGCACGCACGCACGCACACACACACACACACACACACACACACACACACAGAGCTCGGTAAGCAAAGCCTTTTACACTATGGAGATCAAGATCAAAGGCACCACCTTCATTTGGCTTCAGATTTGGGGCTGTTTTCCTTCAAAAGCTCAGACACATTTTCAGCCAATGCCTGTTTGAGATTCTTTTCTGACCAACCTCCAGGTGCCTGCAGTAAGGCAGGTCTTAGCTCCTTCCCTCTTATGCTCACATCTTGTTTAAATATACTTGGTTTGATAACAACTCCCGCACACATATCTGAAGCCCTGACCTTCCACAAGAGCTCCAGATTTGAATACTAACTGTGATTTAACAGACCATTTGCACTTTACTGAGCATCTCACACTTCAAGTCTAAATGAGACCTCCAGGCCTCTAGACTCATGCCAACCTCCCTCTTTCTCAGAGTTCCACAATCCAAGTCAGTCAGGTAAAAAATCTAGCAGGCAGCATTACGTCATCACTTTCCCTTTCACCCCAAAAGCAACTCCAGTACATGCCACTTTCAAAATACACCCCAAAAGAAATTGTAAAAAGATACATCCAAAATACAACCATTTCTCACCTTCACTGATACCCATTCTCTCTCTCCTGAGTTACTAACTGGCAAGCCATCATCCCCTTTCGTCCTTCTAAAATATGCCCTCCATGTGCAATCCTTATGATTGTGACTCAGTCCTTGCCTTCCCTACTTCAAGCTTCCTTGCGGCCTTCCATTACACTAACCATAAAAAAAAGGAACCTACCCATCTAGAATGCCATAGTTCAGGTGAGTGGCCCCCCACAGGCTCAAGGGGTTTGCTCCCTAGAGTGATTAAGATGCGATAGGGATGTCAGGAGGTTGAGCCTAGAGGGAGGGCCTTAGGTAACTGGACACATGCTCCTAAGGGTGACCCCATCCCATCTCTTTCCCTACCCTTCCTAGTTTATGAGCCATTTTCTCTGCTGGGGGCCTCAAGCCTTGATGTACTATGCTTGCTAGAGACCCAAAGTAATGGGGCCACCTGCTCTAAGACAGGAACCTTCAGAAAAAATAAGCCTTTCTAGGTTTACTGCCTGAGGTATTCACTGTAGTGATGAAAGCTGACTAACACAAACAGTAGTTAACCTTTGTACTAAAGGTGACAAGAAATACATTCAAAGGCAAGGCAGTCCTGGGTCACCCCCAAATCAGATTGCTCTACACACAACAGCATATGCAACATGCTGAGCATCAGTGGTCATTCATTCCTAAATACCCTCCCTCTCTCATCTGGTCAGACCTCCAATTACTGAGAAGGTTGCAAGAGCCTTTTGACCACTGTTTAATTGTTGAAGTCTAGTAGCCCACATGACTTCAATAGAGAATTGGTACCATATTACAGCCAAAGATTTATTAGAATGTTAAATAAATCTCTCAGAAGCATCCATCTAAAAAGCAGGGGCAAGCCTTTGTTTAAACATCCTATTGTCTGCAAGTTTCCAAACAATGCTTTTACCCTGTGTTCCCAGGTGGTTTAAGAAACACATAGATTTCAATGATAATGTTTTTCACCTCTACTAATTAACATGAAGCAAATTTTTGTGCTTCTTCCTCAAATATAACTCATTTTTTAATTTATTTTTCTTCACATAGATGGAACTGGTAAAAGAAAGGAGCCAGGGGCGCCTCCCAAGCCCATGTGACCCCCAAGGAACAGATCCTCAAACGACCTTAAGAATAAAAATAAATTGGTTTATCTGGACCAACTGTATGGTCTTAAACACCCAAAAGGAAAGTATAACCAAAGATTAAAGGGATCAATATAATTCTTTAAGAGTCCATGCGTATACTTAAAGGCTACATAACAAGAAACAATGCCCAACAGGAGATACCTTCCTTTGAGTTGTTGGCCAAGGTGGCCAAAGGGACTCCCAGACAGTAACCCAGCATAGAACTGGGAAAATGAACAGCAGACCCCAATCTTATCTAAAGGAATATTGGCAATTGATTGCTGCTAGATGAGGAAAAGCTGGTCTTCCTAAAGCAAGGATCTCTAGATAGGTTGACTACATTCAGCGGATGGGCAAGCACTAGGGAATGGCTGGGGGTGCCAACAACACAGTGGACAGTAACAGGGATTACAGAGTATATGGGCTCCAGTGGGGGTTCGTAGAGGCTATGGGAAGGTGCCATTTGGGATGCGGGTATAAAGATGAATAAGATTGGGATGTTCTGTATGAAATACACACCAAAAAAATCAATCAATAAAAAAATGAGTTATATTTGAGGAAAGAGCATAAAAATTTGCTTCATGTTAATTAGTTGAGGTGAAAAATATTACCATTGAAATCTACCTGATGACTTTATAGCCATACTCAGGTGCCAAGGATCCGAGTGTAACCCACTGTGACTAGTAATAATCAGATACATAGAGGTTAGAAATGCATGTGCAAACATCTAAGAGTTAGTAGCATTAAAAATGAGTTTCTCTGTATGAAACAGTATATTTTAAAATGAAATGGAGATCTTTATTAAAGGTTAAAACCTCATTCAATGTTATGTCTTATAGGATTTATACTGAGTTCAATATTGTATAACTGTATCAATTCAACTGTGAACCTAAAAATTTACAGCCAATTTTGAAAGAGATGCATTTTTGCTCTGGAAATTGTTATTGAATATGTTAATGCTGTAATGAAATGTTTCTTCTAATCATGTGGTTATTAAATAAATAATTTTAAAAAAACAGAGAAGTTACTGTTTCAATTCCTCAGACTTAACACTGAGATTAACTTTAAATACAAAAGAATTTCTGGCAAACTAGAATGATCTAGAAATATATCCTAGTGAGCTCAGTAGCAGAAAAGGAATTACCTCAATATTTACACCCTCTTAAAAAATTTTTTAAAGTTGACCACTAAAACTTTCAGTCCCCCTTAGCGAGAAGGGAACATTGGGCTCCTCCTCCTGCACACCTGCCTATGTTGCTTCTTCCCCTCCTGTGACCTTCCCCTGGAGGCAGAGAGGCAGCTGTGGCTCTGTGCCAGGTAGGCCCTCTTTGTAAACTGGGGCTATTTTTAGGTCAGCAGCCCCTCTCTGATCCCTGACATGGCTCTAGATAATCATGGGACAGAATGTAGAGCGAACCCTTCATAAGCCAGGCAAGTCCCAGGATTATTAGCAGCACTTCTTGCAACACAGCAAGAGTCTCCTAAGGGCCTCAAAGGAGACTACTCGGAGGACAGGCAGCTGTAGGGATAGCCACTAACTTATGTGCCCTCAGCCTGCCAGGCCTGAGGCTGGGTCTCCATTTCAAATGTGCACCACACAGTGCTCATGATTTCATCAAAAGAAAGCTCTAAGAGTCTTTACCCATATATGGAGATTTCTTACCTACATGTGAGAAAATGTTGAACTTACTAAGGAGGTATTTGTTGCAGCTGAAATGTCATGTTCATCGCCAGCACTGACCGAGCTCTCAGATTGTTCTAACAGCCTTGGAAAGAGATATTGAAGAAAAAATGTTCAAAGAAAATTTTAGCCACAATTCATAAAAAAGAACATACCAAGTCAATGTTGTAAATTAACTAACCCTTGTGCTATTTATAACCACATACTATATCATTTCTAACTAGAAAAGGCCTTTCAGAAATGCTAACTAAACCTGATGTTCCACCCCTATGGAAGACACTGGGCAGTGCACAGAATGTGAGGGGTGTTACATTTTACATTGCACCTTTCCTCTAAGGACAACATGACACATCAAAGTTGATCTCTTATTAAACGTCAGTGAGGTTTTATAAAGAACTATAATATCATATTTAACCCACAAGCCTATGGTGTCAGAAACACTTGCTCTCTGGATTTCTGCTGATAAGACTGAGTGATAGTGAGAACACAGAGGCTAACACTGGATCTCAGATCTGACAGTCATTCAGGACCCTGACATTTCAACATTTGTTTACATGAAATGAACACACATCTGCTTGAGAGATATTCTCCCTCCCATCCGCTCTGGAGCTGAGGTTTTCCACAGACTCCTAAAAGTGGGAGGGTTCTGGAAGAACAAAGGAACACACCAAGGCCCTCAGGAAGCAAAAACCTCAGCCAAGTTTACGCCCTTACCCTTTTAAGCAAAACAAAGTCTCACCGAATCAGCACTGGCTACTTTTTGCATTTCTTAGATGGGGGTGTAGGAAGAGGGAACTAACTGTATCTTCAAATTTGGCCTTGATGCCAGGAAGAATAAATGATGTAATATGTTATAAAAGAAAAATATTTAATATGCACGCTGTTGGGCTATGAGAGCAATTTGGAAATTCTCAGATTGGATTTTGTTGCCTTTATATTTCTAAAGATTTGTTTAAGTCAAAACCTTCAGCTCCATGAAATCGTCCTTGAGGTTAGCTCCTATGTGACTTTCTCTAACATCATTGGTATATGAAAGTCAATCAAGATGTAAAACTCAATAATTACTTTGTCAATAAATTAATGGAACCAACTCTACAAAATGCTGAAAGGCAATTTCACCTGGAGCCCACAAATTCTAAAAACACCAAACTCAGGGCAAGATCATCCCTAAACTCATACATCTGTGGGACCTGAGGGCTTGAGAGGTGAGTTCAGAATTAAAAGACCAGATGAAGCCGGGCATGGTAGTGCATGCCTTTAATCCCAGCACTTGGGAGGCAGAGGCAGGCAGATCTCTGTGAGTTCAAGGCCAGCCTGGTGTACATAGTGAGTTCCAGGACAGCTGGGGCTACAGGGAGACTTTCTCAAAAAGGTGAAAATAAATAAAGATCAGATGAAGGCCATAAGGATTTTTACTTAAAAAGATAGGAGAGAGTGAGCTGGGCATGGTGGTGCATGCCTTTAATCCTAGCACTTGGGAGGCAGAGGCAGGTGTATCTCTGTGAGTTCAAGGCCAGCGTGGTCTACTTAGTGAGCTCCAGGACAGCTGGGGCTACAGGGAGACTCTGTCTCAAAAAAAAAAAAAAGGTAGGAGAGAAATGTTCTGCACATGCTTACCCAGTTACTACTTGTGGAATTCTAAGCCCTCTCTATTTCAAATGATTTCAATCCTGTAAAAAAAATTTTAAGTCAGAAGTAGAATAACATTTGTCCTTTTGGATACTGACTTCCTAGCTTAGCTGTCAGAGGTGAGATGGCGGTATGGCTTAACATAAAGCCACGTGGATTATTTGAAAATAACACTGTTCTCCACTTGTTTGCTTGTTTGCCCAGCCTGGTCTGGATCTCTCTGTGAATCTCCTGCCCTAGCCTTCCAAGTGTCGGGATTACAGGTGTGCACCAGCATGCCTGGCTTTATTCTCCATGTTTATATAAATGTGTGATGTCTTAATTAGCAATCTAAACCTTGTCAATTTTCTTTGAACTATTAATATATGAGAATTTCAGGGGTGAAATCAATCTTATGCCATTATCCTTACACTCAGAGCCTCCAATTAGCTACAAAGGCAGAACCTATACAACAGCACTCGGGACAGTCTGGGAGAAGCTAAGCAGCTACTGAAGGAAAACAGGGCCCTTCACACACCCCTTCTGCCAGTTTCCACATCCCTGCTACAGAGGGACCTTTGCATACAGTAGCATTTATTCATTCAGCAAATATTCCTTAATCCCCTACTATTGCCAGCTGTGTGGCCAGGCACCAAGGCCTCAGTGAAGCTGTCAAAGAGCCTGCAGTTCAGCGAGGAAGACAAAGTACAAGGAAATAATTGAACAAACCAAAAGGTAGAGGTGACCAGAGCTGGGAGGCCGTCAGTGTGGATGTGGAAAGGACGGTAAGGGCAAGAGGGAGCTCCGGCTGAGGAACCACAGCTGAGCCCTTCTGTGCCTTCCCCATTTTATGCATTTATAAAATTTTCCTTCCTGAACTCTAGAGACACAACACAGGAATACCAGCTTTTAAATAACCAGCGGAGGTACATCAGACAAAACTTTTAATCACCACCACATTATAAAGTACATTTTAGCACAAAAAATGAAGTATGTAATTACAAATAAAGAACATTCTGTTTAGCTGGGTGCGGTGACTCACACACCTTTAATCCCAGTACTAAAGGCAGAAGCCTGTGGCATCAAGGCCAGCCTGGTCTACATAGCAAGTTCCAAACCAACCTAGGCAACATAGTGAAACCTGTCTCAAAACAAAAACAAAAACAAACAGAAAAGGAGCATTCCTTTAGTTGAGGTTATATAATATTTGACTTATGAAAATCTTAGCACATTATTTTTTCCACTTCAGGACATCCTGGTAGACACTTTGCCACCAAACACCCCTGGCTCATAGATCTGCACTTGAACCTCTGAGCTAAAGTGAAACGGTAGTGAGCTATGGAGGACACTTTCCCACCCCCCACAGGAGACATGAACAAAATCCAATGGGGCACAAAAGGCTTAAGACTCTTAGAGGAGAGGCCTGTATGTTGACCCTACCAGCAGAAGCCACCACAGACACCACATTCACCAGTGTACACAGAAGCCCCATGGGCTACAGACAGAGAGGAGTATGCAGAAAAAGAAGGGCATGTAGACAGACAGGGGAGCACTGAGAACAGCCATGACCAGCTGCTGCAGAAGACATGGGAGGCAGCACCTGGACCTGACCACTTCCACAACCACCATGATGCTACCAGGCTCCTTTAGGACCCAGCTACCGACTCAGAAGAGGGAGCTGGGGAAAGGGAAACAATCCTTCAAGGAGACAACAGCCCAGAGAGGAAGTCTCCACTGACCAAGTTTAAATACCAAGCGACTATTTACCTGAGAGTGACCGTCTTGTAAACCAAGAGGCCAATTTATCTTGTGGTGGTTGTGGAGCACACACCAGAGCCTCGAGAGAAAGTCGGGTTGTAAAGAACTAAAGTTCCATTTGGGGAGTCAGCATAGTGCATTAAACCTGACTTTGTAGCTGCTAAAATGACAAGAATTGGAAGACCTGAACCTCCAGAGCACTGTCAAGGGAGCTGGGGCCAAGGCAAGTTCGGGGTGGCGAGCTCACTGGCCAGCATGCGCACAAGGTGGGGGCAGTTTGCCTTTGCTAATCCAGAAGAAATGTGCAAGGCAATTCTGTGAGGGCCCAGAACTCCACACCACCAATTCTGTGATCCCTTATGGAGCCACTCGCTTCAAATGCATATTATTATATGCTTTTCAAAAAGAAAATAAAAATAGAACTTTTTTTTTTAAAAAAAAGATTCTTTCCAGCTGGGCGTGGTGGCACGCACCTATAGTCCCAGCACTAGCACTTGGGAGGAAGAGGCAGGCAGATCTCCGTGAGTTCAAGACCAGCCTGGTCTACATAGTGAGCTCCAGACTAGCTGGGGCTACAGGGAGACTGTCTCAAAAGGACCA